GGAGTCCAATGGAGTCCAATGGAGTCCAATGGAGTCCAATGGAGTCCTGGAGTCCTGGAGTACGCTATTTCCCCCTTGAGCTGATAGCATATTAGATCATAATGGATGTGACATAAAAAAATGAGGCACATTTATATTTCATTGTATCATCACTTAATGTATTGTATTAAAAAACCGAAATATACAAGTACAAGATGCAGCGTGAAAAGCTCTAAAATTTACATAAGATCACTTATTTTATAGTTATACTTTTTTGTTTTCAAAATGAACAAGACTCTGAGCGTGCAAATTTCGACGCTGCGAAAACTAGATTTTGTTTTGGTAAAAGACGACTTCGTTTTTTCCTATCTCATCTTTTAATAATTGTTCTTTGTAAATTGTACAGCTTTTCACGCTGCATCTTGTGCTTGTATATTTTGGTTTTTTTAATACAATGCATTAACTGATCATAAAGTGAAATGCAAAAGTGCGCCATCCGTTATGACCTAATGCTACCAGCTAGTTTTCAACAAAAATAGTTCTTATCAAAATTTTATTATTATGATATTAGTTGAATAGTGATCAAATAGTATAGAAAATAGAGCGAAAGATGCTCTACCAGTTTATAAAAAAAAAATTTTCAAGCTTTCTATAAGAAAAAACAGTACCTCCGCCACTACTTTGGGATGACCCTAAGTATATTCATTCAATGATCTAATCATTTGTAAGAATAAGTTTGAGAAATCTTTTATTTATTTAGAATAAAAATAATTCAATTGGGTGTGGGTGGGTGTGGGGTGTGGGAGGGTGTGGGTGTGGGTGGGTGTGGGTGTGGGTGTGAATTTGTTAGTGTGGATGCAGTTCATGTTTTTATCCACACCCACACCCAAAAGACATCGAGCTGACTCTTCATTAATATTATAAAGGCCAAGACCATATAAATTAGGAGAAGTAGCAGCACATAAAACATTCTTCATAGATGATGATTCAAGATCAAGCCATTTGATTTTATCATGAATTTCAGGTAAAATTTGTAAACAAAATCGATTAAGCATCATATTACAATGAAATACATCGATAAAATTATCTGAGCATCTTTTGACAAAAGTCAAACGACTTGTAAAAGTCGAATCTTGAACAATTTTATTTAATCGTTGATTAACACTTTGTAAAGAATAAAGTACTTCAAGATTGTTCATTTTTTTGAAAATAATCATAAGGATTTCACCAGGTAAATCGTTAAATCCAACGCATGAACATTCCATGTTAATGTTCATTTATCTATTCTTTTCGGCTTATGAATGTCAATATCTATGCATACAATCATTTGTTCTATTTGACCGATATCGTCAATACAGACAATAACGTATTTTTCTATTTCGTCCCAAACAGACTGAAAAAATAAAATGAATTAATCAACGTGATTGGTTTATTCCAACTTAAATCATTTTTTCAGACGATTTATTTTTTCTCGTGTGTTTCATCCTATAGCAAGGTTTCAAATGGACTTCGGAATCAAAATGTTTTCGTACACTTTGTTTGACCTAGCATAGGGTACGTGTATACTTAACTTTCCTAAGCAAAGGGTGCCACAGTGTGGAGATCGAAGTTTATCAAATAATCTAGAAAAGGGTGTGGGATGTGTGGGTGTGTGGATGTGGGGTGTGGGTGTGGGTGTGGGTGTAGATGGGTATGGGTGTGTTGTTGAACAATAGAAGAATATCCACATCCACACCCATACCCTAAATAATCAGCATTTCTTCATTTTCGATTTTATTCAGTTGAAAATGTCGTCTTTGATTCGTTGACTCATCATTCTCTTGCCACGGATTGTCTACCGACACATTGATCCTGATCTACAGTATATGTAAAATTAAAACACACTGCTATTATTTGTTATACGATTAGATCTAAAGTTAGTAGTCACATATAAAAGCACATTAGTTTTTTTTGTTCATTATGCATTCTGTCCCATAGCTAACGCTCTTTCCATTGCATTTATACTTTTCTTCAAATTCTCACGTTTTTGCTGTTGGTTGAATGGCTCACGCATCCATTCAAACAAAGTAGCCGATGTAAAGGCTGAACTCAGTTTTGAGTCGAGTACAAGAGCACATCGAGTGATAAACCAATAATAACAAAGTTGAGAGACCTGATCAACAATACGCTTTTCAACTACACGACAATAAGCTGACATAGCTATTTGAACATCTAATGCTGCTTGATGTTCATTTGAAAGACCACTCACATCTATTACAAAATCATTGATAGTAAATCTTGGTGAAACTTTCGCATTTCTGTCTAACAAAGCAAAACGATAATTGATATGCATATATTTGATTTATAGAGGTGAAACTTACTTAATTCAATACTATCATTATATTCTTGGTATTTCTTTTTGATTTTGTTCACTGTATCCATATAATAATGATTAAGTGTAAATACACGTTCTTCAATTTGAAGCATCTTTTTAATATCATTACTGCATTGGTCTTCACTTTCATCAATAGCACGTATAATGATATCGGTTAATTTATGTATTATTTGATATTTATAGCTTGTCTCTTCAGCAAAAACTTCATTTTATACTTTGATCAAGACCTTTTTCGAATATTCAGTATATGATTCAATTAGCTCTTCACATGGTTTTCGAAATTTGTTTTGTTCAGCACGATAAAGTCGTTCAATGATACTAAATGATGGGAAGTTAGGTAAATCAACACCAGCATTTTCTTCAAGTAGTTTTAATACGAGTTTTTGATATCCTGATGAAAAGAAATGTGTGAAAGAATTATGAAGTTTTTCTCTACATTCTTTTTGTCGATTATATAGTTGAAAGGCAATACGTTTATCAAACCGATCATTAGATGTTTGTGTAAGAGTAGATGTTCTTGATAAATCAGTTGTTGCAAAAGCTGATTCTTCAATTTTTAATTGCATCTCATTATCATATACTCCATGAACACGTGCATTAATGATTTCACGATATTTTTTAATTAAATCTGTATATAATATTCAACAATCCATCTCAGAAGTAACCGGTGGTGGCATTTGTTTCAATTCAAATTTCTTTGACTTAATTTCCTTTTTAAGTTCGTCTATAATTGATGGAAGAGTTGAGCGAATACGTTCTTGTTGAATTAAAGCAAGTCGTTTTACTAATTGCCCACAACCAAGATATCTCTCTGGTACATCTTCAAAAGCTTTGCGAGAACGAAAAAATTGTTGCTCTCGTCGTCACATTTCATCAAATGAAATATTTTGATCTATTTCTTCTTGTGTACGATTAAGCACAGCTACACAACCAAGTTTGAGTTCCATTGAACCTGGTCCAATACCTTGAAGTTTTTCTCCAATACCTTTGTCAAACTTATCAATTTTTGATACAGCAATCAATTGTCGTTCACCTTTGAACATAGATCAGAGTTTGGCAATAAAAAACAAGTTATACATTCTTACACTGTGAATCATTTGTTTTTGCAAGTTGAATCGATTCAGAAGTTGTAAAATCTACAGATGAAGGAATCACATGTAAGACAATAGCTGTTTTTGGTTTAATATAGTGTTCAATAAGTTCAACAATATCTTTATAAATAGTTTTAGATTGTCCACCAATTGGATTACGAGTAATACCTATAAAATCGGAGAGAAGTATAATTTAATATTTGACTCATCTTATCAAATCATGGGTGGTTGCCTGGTAAATCAATAAGTGTTAAATCTGCTTGGATATCTTTCTTATAGACAGTTAAATAAATAGGCTTTGACGAAACATTAAGATTTTCACCAGCTAGTCGAAGCGTACAATCTGTTACCCTGTTCTTGATATCCAAAAAGTTGTTGATTCTGATCTCAGACACACCTTCACGTCAAATGGTGGCATATTCCGTCTCAGTAGATGGAATATTTTTCATGCGTAACTCGAGTGGACATCGAGTGCAAATATTTTGTGCTCGTGGCAATTGAACTCCACTCAATGCTTCGAGAACAGATGATTTACCAACCTTGAAACGTGCGAAAGAGGAAATCTATTTAGTTGTCATAATGTGATTTTACTTACGGATTGATCGCCAACGACAACAATATGTGGAAGAGAAATTTTCTCATGATGTAATATTTCTCTCATGTCATCGACAACTTTGAGAAGATTACGAGATTCAGGGGTATTTAATTCGTCAGTGAGCATTTTTAGATCGGTATTTTATGATTATTCTACAAGAGGCATTCGTTTCTTTTTTAGCTAACTACGAAATATTCTAGTCGATTTTGTATAATTTCTGTTTGTATTACTTTCACCTTCTATTGTGTGTTAATTTTAATCCCGTCTCTCACTCTTTTCTGTGAACTCTTGTCGTTTTCTTTTTCTCTTTCATAGAATGTTCTTTCTTGCACAACTCATATAAAATCTGCCTGGCAATACATGTCAATAAGGTAACAAACTCTGTAACTACACAAACACCACAAAACAATAATTCATTCTTTTCTATTTCATCAATAGACACTATAGAGATGAAATTTATTTTTATGGCAACACAAATTGAAAATTAATAAGACTTTCTCTTTACATACACTTTAAAATAATCCCAAACGGCACTATTGTGTTGCGTATTGTAACGATTCCAGTTAAGTGCACTGTATGCAGGACGTTTGGGCTTTCCCTGCTGTTTCTGTTCATCTTATGTATTATCCTTATCTTTCTGTCCTTGCTTCGTGCATCGTGTTGTACTTTGCTCCTATCGTATTTCTTGTATTATGATCGAAATATAATATATTGAAGTAAATAAACGACTTAATGTTGAAACATAAAACTTCTTATTTTCACAGCAGCGAAAATATTTTTGTAATTGACAATATCAGCAATGAAAGCCTATCGAAAATGACAGAATTTACTTTTGCAGAAAAACTGCAAAAGTAAATTCTGTATAGACTATCTTTATGATGGAACTAACTGATATTGTGCAATTACATTGGCAGTATTACATAGTGACATATATAACACGACCATTGAATGTTTTTCATTCTTCGTATAATATACATATAGGCTGTTTATAACTAGCGAACTATTGTTTTTACTACACGATGACATCATTATACATTCTTTTCTTTTTATCTTCGATCTATACGAGATACATCGAAAATAGATTTGAAAAGTAAATTCTGTCATTTTCAATAGTCTTTCATTGCTGATATTGTCAATTACAAAAACATTTTCGCTGCTATGAAAATAAGAAGTTTTATGTTTGTATTAATATCGTTTCCTTTCATATTCTTTTCTTCCCTCTGACAGAGAAGTATACAAGCCTATGTTTTGTATGAAAGCGAGGTGATTCCTGATAAGAAGAAATATAATAAAGTGTAATACCACCAACACTACCATTCTTCCTATCGGAAATCGTCATCCTTATGGCTTATTAAAATCATATTTAACTCCTTGAAGCGTGGATGTAGGTTTGTTCGTAGCAAAAGAAGAGCCACACTTGCACCCTTCATGTTTTTCCGAAATATCAAATAATACCTATAATAGGTTGTGGGTGTTCGCATGTTGTAGGTGGAGAAAAGATTCATAACGACGCACACAGCACCACACTCTCACTGTCCTCATCTTACACACACACTCTTACCCCACACTCACATCCAATTTGTTGTTGCATTTTTCTCCATGGAGCTCGTTGCTTCACTCCAACAATAAAATGCCTTCAGTGTGCTACTCCACCGGAATGTATCGAAATAAGTTGGAAAGAATAACAAAAAGCTCGATTGCTAGTCCTCATGGAGTCATTGATTAACAATTGATTTTCATCTTGATTGTTGTATGTGTTTTTTTTTGCTTGCGAACACTTTCAACAAAAACAAAACACCTTGTGAGTAATAGCAATCGACGAGGACAAATAACGAAACATATTACAAAAATAGATTCTATCATCTTCCATAACTGATGTTAATTTGATTCACAATTATAGACAGGATACTTGACGGGGGGTGTGGGGTGTGGGTGTGGATATGCATGTGGGTGTGGGGGATGGGCAAGGGGAAAAAAGCTGACCCCGGGAGCCCAGGACTCCATGAGACTCTGCGGGACTCCTAATATATATGGAGTCCCGAAGTCCATATTAACTGATTTATACGTTTTCTTTTTCAAATACGTTACTAATGACAAATGACACGGTGAATTGTGAAAAATCATAGAGATTTGAGCCAATATCACGCGGTATGCATAAGTGCTAGTTCAGAACTGGGGACTGGGTATATATTTAATTAATCTATGCTGATTAAATCGTCGGTTGTTTAGGAGTACCGTCAGTTCCTCAAGATCCATATTATGAAGGTACCCATAGGCCCTCAAGTACTACATTATGATGGTACCTTCAAGTCATCAAGTCCTATATAGTGGGGGTACTCTTGGGTCCTCAAGGGCTCTTCCTTTGACTGTAGTCAGAGTTTTAATCTCGAGAATGACTGTGTGTTTTTGTGTTTGTCTGCAAGGTGGTAGTTCAAATCTACACTCCAGGGACGCAGTGGATCACTTTGATCCACGGTAAACCCCTTCCCTCAATAGAAGGCCTCCCCCTATTTAAAAGGCTCCCAATAGAGGTTTTTTGCAGGAATTATGTGTATTTTGCCGGAAATTTTGGTGGCATATGGACCAAACGTGACTCGCCATAATATAAGACCCGGGACCTTTTATTGCGAGAGGGGTTTATTTGTATATAAATCATTATAGAAAAGGCATTGCACTATTTATTCACGCAAAAAATCCTCCATGTTAATTGGTTTATAAAATTGCCAGTAACCTTGCCAGAGCTTTTTGTCAGCCCTGGGGATTATATAGAGTTGTCGATAGGTATTGAAGGGCAGGATTCACGATTGATTTTGAGAATGGGGCGGGTAGGAGTACAAACTTTACGGAAACTCCATCATCTTAAGCGCACAAAGTCAATGTTGCTTCTGTTCCATATCTTTCCCAAAATCGATGTTATGTGTGCCATATTTCTTACATAGATTTCAAATTTTAGGTGAAAATGCGGCATAAAACGATCGAGTTTCTGCGAGAAATATAGAAGAGAGGACTGCATTTTCTACGAGATGTTTGACCTAAATAACATGGATGTTCGGGAAGAATTTGGTAGAGGCCATGTCGGGTGTGGGTGTGGGGTGTACATGTGGGTGGGTGTGGGTGTGGGTGT